TGAGACTATGCATGATTAGATGTGATTACACATTTAAAGTGCTCTGTGTTTTTTCAGGTGATATTTGAAGGTATTCGTGGTGATAGTTACACTGGTGACATTGGTTTGGATGACGTTTCCTTCACATCCGGCTGCAAGGGATTTGGCGGAAGTCTTCCTGTTGCTCCATCTCCCACTCCAACCGCTTTTCCAATATCCACACAACCACACCAGTGTAGTAGTGCAGAATTCAATTGTGCTAAACAAGGCCCTGCTGCATGCATCCTTAGCACAAAGGTGACAAATTGATCATACAATGGTACACTTTCACACCAAGCTAGACTAGTGGTATCAACTGGCACACAATTACTCAATGGTGATAGAATCATACAAACAACAGCCTGATACTGTGGTTAAGCATTTCCAGAATTTCAAACTCTTCCATTGATCCAATTCATTTCTTCAGTGCGAGAAAGATGAAAATGTGAAATTGTCCCAGACTCTTGATTCCAGTTTCCAAAGCATGAAACTGCTCGAAATGGATATGACTCCAATGTGTTTGTACTTTGTTGGTCTTTAACACTCTCATCAATAGACTCGTTATTTATGGAATTTATTGTTTCTTAGGTTTGCAACTTCCAAAATGATTGTCAAGATGGTTCAGATGAAGGCAAATGTGTCAGTACTCGCTGTACTTTTGACAGTGGAAACCTCTGTAACTGGTATGTGGACAACCCCACTCGCAAGCGACGTGCTTTGGCATACACTTGGTTGGCGCAGCAGGGTTCTACAGGCACTGCTGGAACAGGACCCACAAAAGACCACACAACAGGTATAGGACTCATTTTCAGTCGCCCTCTGCTCATGACTTGCTATTATATGGATGGACAGCCTCAGGTCCAGAGCCTACAATCCACATCACAATAATATTGTTATGACACTTTCACTCCTAACTTTCAATGTTGGCAGAGACGATGTCTGACCACAGAAAAGTGTTTCACTCATCATTAAAGGACAGGACATAGTGTCCACATCGAAACTTTTATTCTGACTTAGAGCAAAGTGTCACAACTAATTATGACAGGTCCAGAACATGACACTGGAAACACTGATGGATTCTTGTCAAGTGTGGTACTTCTTTGTATTTGACAGGAACCATAGCAGGGTGGTATATCTATGCAGAGAGCTCTGGGGGCAGTGGTGATGATAAAGCACCACTGACAACACCAAGGATTGGCCAAACAGGACCACAATGTGTTCTTTCCTTCTGGTACCACATGTATGGCCCACATGTTGGAACACTTTCAGTGAAACTTGCCTTCCTAGATGGAACGCAGCTAGTTTTATGGTCCAAGGCTGGTAACCAGGGAAACCAATGGACAAATAGCCGTCTGGTGATTGGGTCGAGGCAACTCTTCAAGGTGTGTGTTTGTTGCTGGATATAACAATAATGTATGACGAACCGAATGCATGCTGCTCCCAGGGCCGCAAAGATTCACCTTGAGCTATATAGCAATTGATATACAAAGATCAGCTCATGGATCCACAAAGATCATTGATCTGCAAAGATCAGCGCAAAATGCGTCAAAAATGTAATGCAAGTCACGGGACATCCGGCAAAGTTCCTGAGACTGTCTTGCAGTACGCCAAAAGGAGAAACCGCTGGCTGCATTGACTCGAGATTAACTTTGCCTAAATTGCATTTAAGCACATTAAAGGGACACTGTCCTGATTTTAGCATGATTTTGGGAAGCTCAGAAACATATCTAGATCATAGGAAGTTGATCAATAATGGTTTGATTCTGTAGAATAACACTCGACAAATGACAGGAACTCATTAGCAAGTGAGGATGACGAACGACAGCGAGGATGGAAATGGATTGCAATATGGATTTTTGAAAAAACGTCAGGATGTCAGTTTTTCAAAGTTTCAAATTTGGCTCGGAAATCTTTGAAATTTTGCAAAAACATTTTTTGTTGCAGTATGGAATTTCTTGAAGAAATTGCTTTTTATCATTTAGTTAGAGTTTATTAAGTTCTTATTTCATAGATTTAGGGACCATTTCATGCATTTATAACAGTTTTGAGCAAATACGCCGGGACAGTGTCGCTTTAAATAGACTGTCTAGCCAATATTCAGCTACTGGGTTATGCTAAAAGCAGACATTGCTATTGTTTGTGATTTTGAGGAATTTTTTTTTTAGGTTATCTTTGAAGCAAGGAGAAATTATGGTTACAAGGGAGATATGGCTTTGGATGATATTGAATTCTTAAAATGTCAGCCACTGGACATCACTAAGAAGTGCACATTTGATCAATTTCAGTGAGTATAAAACAACATAATGTTAATACAAGCTCTCTGGTCTAACTGCTTTCCATACATTGCCTGTAGTATCCCTGCCACTCGCCTGCCTTTATATTGTTATTTTGCAGGGAAATGAGCAAAATCCTGACCTTGTGAAGACTCGAAGGGTTAAGGAAAGCTAGCGAATGTGTTTTTTTTTTAGTAGAAAATGAAGTAGTAAATTGTTGTAGCCATTTGTGTGTTGTGTTACTATACACAACACATTAGTTTATGTGGAGCTTTTGTCATGGGATCACTCTCTCCTAAGATGTTAACTTTTGGAAATTTTAAAGAAACGTATGGAAAACTAAATTACGAGATTTTGCTTCTAACATCCTTCAAATACTGCTCCAACAGCGCAAGGTATATATATTTTTCTTTTGTCTCGTGGTTTCCAATATGGTACTTGTGCAAAAGACGCATGCGTGTAGCGCCCAAATTCGGAATATAATCACCAGAAGCTCTAATTATTGACCTGATTTCCTACAAGTCACTGACGCAATTTGCCCCAAATCAGGAAATTTTAGGGAAAAGGACAATCTCTATGACGGAAAATGTATTGAAAAAACTAGTAACTTAAATTACATTTATGTGCCAAAACCACAGTCACGAGTGCTTGTTTTTTTACCAAAAAACAAAGGGCAGAGAATGCATTAGCCCTGCCTTTCAAGCTTCAAAAATCTGTTCAATACAGAAACCATTTCCCTAGACTGTACGAGCTGAAATCTTTCCTGAAGTTTATATCAGCGTATTGAGAGGAGTTTATTACAGGAGTTTATTCCTAAAATATTATGTGCCAAAGCAGTGGTTGATTTAAGACTACAGCCAGAACAAGACAACATCAGAAAGCCCTGAGAGTGATCGGGATGGAATTTCTCCTCACAGTATCAATACATAGTCATGAGAAAATGTTTGTGAGAATGAAGTGATCACTAAAGAAGCTCTATTTATTTCCTACAAGTTGCCCCAAATCAGGACATTTTAGGGGAAAGGACAATCTCTATGACTAAAAACTGAGCAAATATATTGAAAAAGCGAGTAACTTGAATGAAATGTATGCGCCAAAACCACAGTCATGAGTGCTTGTTTTCTCAGCTATCAACAAAGCAGAGAATCATTAGCCGTGCCTATCAAGCTTCAAAAATCTGTTCAGTACAGAGGCAATTTTCCTAGGCTGTACGAGCTGAAATATTTCCTGAAGTTTATCAGCGTATTGAGTTTATTACAGGAATCGCATCGAAAATTAAATATTCGGAAAGCAATATATGTCAGAAGGCAAAATCACTGTTGCAAGTCTGTATAAACATGGCTGTGACCTTTAGCGCGTTATTCGATCACTTTAACTTTACACCATTATGTAGAGGTAATCGCATGATTTCGAGTGCAATTTGGAATAAATAAGCACGAGTAAATTTTTCAGACTAACAAAATTGCACGAGCCCGTAGGGCGAGTGCAATTTGTAGTCTTTGAAAAATTTACAAGTGCTTATTTATTACAAATTGCACGAGAAAAATCATGTGATTACTTGTTAATAACACACTTGAAAAAATACTGTTTACCGATTACTTAGGCTGAGGAGGCCTTGGTCTTCGGAAATCTCCGAAATTTCGGAAGTATTCGCAAACCTTCCGATAAAGTTGGAAAATCCTTCGGATGTCTTCGGGTGATCTTCGGCAACCTTCGTAAATCTTCGGGTGATCTTCGTAAATCTTCGGTAAACTTCGGAAGTGTTCGGGTTATCTTCGGTAATCTTCGGTAAACTTCGGAAGTCTTCGGATAAAGTTCGGAAATCTTCGGGCAATCTTCAGAAGTCATCGGGTGATCTTCGGAAACTTTCGGAAGGCTTCGGGTCAACTTCGGCCATCTTCGGCATACCTCGTGTGACCGTCGGGAGCCGTTAGGGGTCTTCGTACTAACTTCGGAATCTTCGGAAATTGTAATTTGCACTGGTGTTACACTTTTTGCACTGGTGTTACACTTGAACTGCACTGCTCTTAGCCAATCAGAATGGAGTAATTTTTTCAAGTGTATTATTAGATGTGTAACGCAATGCGTGCGTTATAACTCGACTATTTTTGGACTATGATGGTTAGCAAATCGAAATTTGAATCAAATTTAATCGAATCGAATCAAATCAAATCAATTATCGTAACACAACATGGCCTAAGGGGCCCCTAGTTATAAGATTAAGGTTTAAGGTTGCTTCACCATTTAGACTGTAACTGTACATATAAAACTGTAGAACATCTGGTAGCTATATGTCCCTAATATTGCACTGCGCATCCCAACTGCACCCAATTAGAACACATATTAAAAATCATGCCAGCTTTTCTTTGTGGTTAAGCTTGCTGACTTTTCCTTACCCAGGTGCGCACAAGGTGGTTGTATTCCCACGACTTCACTGTGTGACTTCAATTCTGACTGTATGTCTGGCGATGCATCAGATGAGACCAGCTGTTCTGCTTATCAATCTGGACAATGTAACTTTGAACATGGATTGTGCCTGTACTCACAGAGTTATGACGACAAGTTTGACTGGACAGTGGCCACTGCTGGAACGTATTCCTATGGTACTGGCCCTTCCTTTGACCATACAACACAGACAAAGAAAGGTACCAGATTAATCCATTAAGAGGGTGTTATACCTAAATGCTATCAGTTGTTCATATGAGAGATGTGGTAGCCTAATGGTTAGTGCACTGGACTCCGGATCAAGCAGTCCAGGTTCCAGCGCAGACTGGGGTCATTGTATTGTGTTCTTAGGTAAGACACTGTTCTTAGGCTGCAGAGCGGGAGGTCGTGGGTTCAAATCCCGGCCGGACCAACAACCAGGGTCTTAAAATAACTGGTTAGATCATGCTGGCTGTGCTCAACACCTTGTCTCAGTTCAGATGATCGCGTCATTGGGCGGTGACGTTAAGCCGTTGGCCTTGTCTCCTTCATCTCCTCGTACCAAATCAGGGGACGTTAAAGAACCCACATCACTGTTCGAAAAGAGTAGGGGACGTAGTCCCCGGTGTTGTGGTCTGTCCTGTTCACATGTATTCATGGGTTGGGTGGGTGGGGTGAGATCATGAATGGACTGATAGCGGCTGCCACAGGCGCCTTTACAGGCTGACGTCCGATCTCACCCCTGAGTTGAATTGTAAAGCGCATTTGAATATTATAGAAAATGCGCTATATAAATACCATTACCAATTACTGAACTCTCACAGTGCTACTCTCCACCAAGAAGTTATAATAATTTGATATTGGAGCAACCTGACAAAAATGCTGGGGGTTACCTATGATGGACTAGTATTCCATCCAGGGGAGTAGCAATACTCTTAGTTGCTTCATGTTATGGAAACCAGATTGATAGGCGCTGACCTGATAAGTCACTTTGCCATCACGCTTCCCATTACTAACCTTTACTGATTATAATCTTTTTTTGATTTTTACTGACGTGTTCTTTAGTGATTTCTTTGCTGTTGTTAATTTATTCAGGTCACTATATGTTCATTGAGACGTCATGGCCACGTAAACCTGGAGACAATGCTCGCGTCAACTCACCCATCTTAAGGAGCACCTCATCCAACTGCTACCTACGATTCTACTACCACATGAAGGGCAATCATATCGGTAGCCTGCTTGTGCGCACACGTGCAAGTTACTTTGCAGGAGTTTCCAGTCCTCTGTTGAACATCACCGGAGCCCAGGGTGACTTCTGGTACCGTGCCATGGTGAAGGCTGCATATAGTAGGGATGACTTCCAGTTTGTGATTGAAGGAGTGCGAGGAACTGGTTACCAGGGTGACATAGCCATTGACGATGTGTCTCTATCAAGTGGTTGTCAGATATGCCCAGACTGTACTATTCCAGGTAGTTGGTTCAGTTCATAATCAGATTGCAGTGAATGGCCATCTCTTTACAACAGCCAGTTTTTTTTTATCCTGGCCATGCGCCAATCCATACACTTTACTCTTGTACAACAGCCATCTCTACAACAGCCAGGTTTTTTTCCCTTCGGCCTTGTGCCAATCCATACACTTGATTCTTGTACAACAGCCACCTTTCTACAACAACCAGGGTTTTTGTTTATCCTAGCCGTGCTCCAATCCATACACTTTACTCAGATTCTACAACAGCCACCTCTCTATAATGGCCAGTTAATTCTAGAGAGGTTCAACTATAATAATGCATACACATTTTGTAGTGATCCTTATGTTACATTTGGCAGTTTTGTTGTGATGGCGGTGATCCAAGTGCTAATTACTACAGTTGAACCTCCACTAACGGCCACCTCTCTATAACAGCCACTTCTCTACAGCAGCCAGGATTTTTCGTCCCGGCCGTGTGCGAATCCATACACTTGCTCTTATTGAAACCACCCTACAACGGCCACCTCTCTACAACGGCCAGATAATTCTGCACAAGGGTGGCTGGCCGTTGTGGAGAGGTTCAACTGTATTTATTAAAATTGTGATAATTTACTTAACTGTTTTCCGTTTAGGTCAACCAACATCAACTCCATTTGGTTTCCACACACGGCCAACTGGAACATCTTGTGGTGTACAGCAGTATGTGTGTAAGAACCTCAGATGTGTGGACAAGGCTCAGATATGTAACTTCCAAGATGATTGTGGCGATAATTCAGACGAAATTCCTTGTGGTTCAAATTGTACATTTGAGGGCGATTGCTATAAGGGTTGGAGACAAGCTACAGGTACTGACAACTTTAACTGGAGACGGATAAGTGGAAAGACACTAAGTGTAGGCACAGGGCCCAGTGCTGACCACACCCTTGGAACACCGCAGGTACAGTAATATCCATTATGATAGGCTATTAGAAAGAATAGACCTAATGCATATTTACATGAGACTACCCAATGTCATCCGCAAGCCTGCTTGTATCATGAATGAATTCCCAAAGCAGCAAAAAGGTAGCCTGCGAATACAGCCGACTTCCATCGCGCGCCGCTTGCAGCGTCCCGCAAGAAAGGTCTCGCTGGACGCTGCAAGCGGCACGCGATGGAAGTCAGCTGTATTCGTAGGCTACTAAAAAGGAAATAATACCCATGTGTAAACAGTATGCACATGCTAGGGTGAATTTACATGTAAGTCATTTTTGCGAAATGCAAAATCGCCTTCAAATTGAAGAAAGCCTCAAAATAATAATTTACTAAGGCAGAAAAACACCAAAGAGGTGATAATAAACCAAACAGGAACAAGGATGGAGAAGATTAAGATGGAGTGCGAACGGCAAACTTGAAAAAATTGGCCAATTTTTTTATTATTTAAGAAAAAGAAAATGGCATGGGTGTTTACATAGCCTGATACAAACATGACAGACATTTGAAGAACCAAACTTTCTTGATTGTTTGCATCATGGTATTGAAAAAAGCAATCGTTAGTTGGGTTTTGAACTTTAGAGTATATACATGTAGAAACATTTATACTGTTAAGAATTCTAGAGAGAGTTGTTGTGGAGCGTAAGAGTTTAATAATGGCTGTTAACTTTACTCTCACTAGGGATTTTATATGTACCTTGAAACATCACGTGGCAGCCCTGGTGACAAAGCCGAGCTGACGTCATACAGGTATTTTGCCTCAAGCCCCAACTGCAAGATGTCGTTATGGTATCATATGTATGGATCAGGGGTAGGACTTCTGGAGGTGAAAATCAAGAAATCTGATGGAACGTATGATATCAAGTATAGCGTGTCTAAAAATCAGGTAACAAGATGTATTTTCATTATAAACTGAACTAAATACGATATAAGGTTGACTTACAAACTAGTAGATATCTTGCAGTGGGCACGGCGCCTATGCAGTATGCCTGGTTAGCTCAGTTGATTGGGCGCCGGTCTGCAGAGCGGGAGGTCGCGCGTTTGAATCCTGGCCGGACCTCAAACCAGATCATGCTGGCTGTGCTAAACACCTTGTCCTCAGTTAGATGATCGTGTCATTGGGCGGTGACGTTAAGCCGTTGGCCTCCTACACCTTCTCATAGTATAAGAGTAGGGGACGTACTGTAGTCCCCGGTGTGTGGTCTGGCCTTTCCTTTCATTCACTTCACATGCCATGGGTTGGGTGGGGAATAACAAGATAAACAATGGACTGATAGCAGCAGCCAGACTGGCGCCTTCTATGATGCTGACGTCTGTTCTCGTTGTAACATACAATGTAAGCGGACACGTCTGTTGTCAGCTCATAATCCAGACATTCATCATCAGGACCACATTTACGTTTGCGTTTCGTTTTTATGCCAAATATTCATACATCCACCGCCTTGTATTGTGGGTTATCTCACATTGCTTCTTGCATTATGCTTTAAAACTGCAAGTAGCATTTTTTAAAGTGACATTTGACCACTGTGTGGGCAGTGGGGTATTTGGCATTTTGTGCAAGATCTTCTAAACCCAAACCCTCCCACCCGGATTCAAACCGGAACAATTGGTATTAAACATATTGACTATACTAATATCAAGATTGTATTACTCAAGTAGTTGTAACAAATAATTAACAATCTTTTTATTGTTCACCATAGGGAGACCAATGGAAACAGGCGATCATTGATATTGGTACTTACAATAACTTTGTGATCATTATCAAAGCTACACGTGGATCAAACTGGCAAGGAGACATTGCTATAGATGACATTACATTCACCAACTGTTTCGCTGATGTCACCAGAAACTGTACTCAGAATGAAGTAGGTGTTGTAGCGTCTGTCACACCCACCATCCCCTTCTCTGTTGCAGTGGAGGAAGGAGGGTGGTGGGGCTACCTCCCACCATCCCCTTCTCCCATCCCCTTCTCCCATCCCCTTCTCCCATCCCCTTTTCCCGTCCCCTTCTCCCATCCCCTTCTCCCATCCCCTTCTCCCATCCCCTTTTCCCATCCCCTTCTCCCATCCCCTTCTCCCATCCCCTAGTTGCAGTGGAGGAAGGAAAGTGGGGCTAAGTGGCGAATTGATTAGATCCAGTTTCAAGGAAAATCTTTTTTTTTTGACAGCAAACTGTACAAATAATATATTATAGGTATATATAATATACCTATGCAAACGATATTTGTACTCTATATACAGATCTTGTGTGCAGTGTCATGACATGCACTGATGTCACAGATCAACCTTAACAAATAAAGGAGCCAAACCCATGTCATAAAACATAACAAGTCAAGGATTTGAGAACACAATATAATTTTTTCTGTATTTTTCAAGTGTTCTCCAATAACTGCAGTGTTTTATGACAGTGTAATACACGACTTTGGTTTTTTATAAACTTTATGGAATAGATTTAATGTGCGAGAAACGATTTTTTTTTTTCAATCTCGTTCCCAGAGTCCTCGTTACCCTTATCCAGCAGCAGGAACGGGCAACAAGGACCTCTGGGATAAAGCGTTCCACCTGATGAATCGCTTTATCCCAGAGGTCCTTGTTGCACGTTCCTGCCGCTGGATAAGGGTAACGAGGACTCTTGGAATGAGATTTTTTTTTTAACCAATCAGAACATGTGCAGAATCCAGTCTATATTAGAATGTTGTTATATAAACACGGATGTATGCTTAGAAACTCACATAGTGCTTTTGTTTGTTGCAAGGTCAAATGTAAAGATACTGGCCATTGTGTAGCAGAGCAAAGAGTTTGTGATCTTGTCAATGACTGCAAAGATGGTACTGATGAAAGCACATCCCTTTGTTCCACTCGAAATAAAGCAAGTTGTGACTTTACTATCAACTGGTGTGGCTGGTCTAACTACTGGTCCGATGATTTTAACTGGATACGCGCTAGCACCATAGGAACAACAGGAACAGGTATGGACAGGCTAGGTCACGATATGT